TTCATCTTTATCCATCCTTCTATACTGCGTTTTAACAACTAGCGGTCATCTACCACCCAACCTCCACCACCATGGCGCCAGCCGCCCCCACCCTAGAGTTCAACTACGACATCTCCTGCCCCTTCGCCTACATAGCCTCCACACGCGTCCAATCCCTTGCCCAACGCACGCACGCAAACCTGATCTACAAACCCGTCCTCCTAGGCGCCATCTACCGCGCCACATCCGCGCCCCAAGGCGCTGGCGGCTCTGCCTCCGATGTCTTCAACTCCGCCAAAAAGGCCGTCACAGGACATGGTATGCAGCGCACACTCCGCAGATACAACATCCGATACAACCCCCCACCCCAGCATCCGCGCAAAACAGTCAATGCCCTACGTTTGTTGTACTGTGTGAAGGACCAGGAGAAGAGGAGGGCGCTTACGGATCGATTATTTCAGGCTTACTGGGTAGACGGCCAAGATGTAAATTCCAACACGACGCTTTTGCAGATCGCGAGGGAGTGTGGAGTGCAAGGGCTGGAAGAAGAGTGTTTCGCTGATGTGAACGCGAGGAAAGAGTTGGAAAAGAGTACCGAAGAAGCCATCCAGAGAGGTGCTTTTGGTGTTCCTGGCTTCTGGATCCCGGATGCGGTTTGGACGGGGGTTAGTGGCGAGGAGGAGAAAGGGAGATTCTTTTGGGGACAAGATCGTATGCATTTTGTTGAGGCGACGTTAAACGCTCTTTCATCTTCTTCTTCGGCTGGTAAAGGGTGGAGTGGTGTCCCTGGACTCAAGAGTCTGATGCCTCGCTGCGTGCCAAAGAACACTCCTCACGGTCCTGTCAAGTTGGAGTTCTGGTTCGATTTCAGCAGTCCATGGGCATTTCTGGGGTACACGCAATTGGAAAGACTGAAGAGTAACTTTGGATCCGGACTGGAGGTTGTTATGAAACCATTCCTGCTCGGTATTCTGTTTAGAGAGATTGGTGCGCCGAATCTACCAGGGTCGGCGGTTAGTCCTGCGAAGGCGAAGTGGTCGAGACAAGATCATGCGGATTGGACGGAGTATTGGAACGCTGTTAGTGCGCAGGACGGTGGTCGACAGGTCAAGTTCCACTGGGCGGATACGTTCCCTATCCGGACGCCCACTGTGTTGAGGGTTGCTATTGTAGAGCCGGAGACTACGAACTTGTTATGTAAGTCGCACTTTTGTTCTTTTGCAAAACGCCTGATACATGCCACGCAGCATGCTAATCAGACACAGTCGAAGCGTGCTGGTCCCACAACCAAAACATGTCCGACGACTCCGTACTCCGCGCTGTCCTTGACCAAGGTGGTTTCAATGGTGCTGACCTCATTGCACGCGCGAACGAGCCCGATGCCAAAGCCAAACTACGGACTTTGACTGCAGAGGCAAAAGACCTGGGTCTTTGCGGCGTACCTACGTATCGTGTGCTGAGACAGACGGATAGTGGGGAGTGGAAAGCAGTGGGCGGGTTGGTGTGGGGACAGGATGAGATCAATGTTGTGGAGGACCTGATTGCTGGGTGGAATCCTGAGAGCTCGAGTGAGGTCGCTGAGGTGACAAAGGGAGAGAAGGGCGCAAGTGCGAAGTTGTGAACGCGGCATATTGGCTGTCCCGGGGGAGTGGGGGTATCGCAGCATTGACAGCTTACTGGCCCGATACATGGCTCACGAGACATCAATGCATGCAGAGATATATTGTGGACAAGTTGGTGACGATCAAATTATCGTGGTGTTGTACCATGGTTCATAAGGGTACATACACATGTCATTAAACAAAAGCAAACCATTACGCCATGTCCATGCGCCTTTCCTGGGTATCAAAAGTGGAAGTGTATCTATCTTTCCGGGGTATTCGTTCGTTTCTCGTGTTGAGTTGTAGGGTATGCGCCGTAATATACGCGCAGAAGTATTCGCAATGTGGATGCGGAAGGATCGACAAGCTCACACCGACAAGTCAATGTCACCGTAGGCACGGCGCTTCCTCCTCTTGCTCGCAAGTTGGGGGCTCCAGATGCCACTGAAGAGGTCCTCGCATTCGTCTTCGTCCTGCGAATCGAACTCGATGTCACCTTCCTTCTCCAGTACCATGCCGTTGTCTTCCTCTTCTACGCTCTCGTCCCACTCCGCGCCTTTGACAACTCTCTTCGTCTCCAGTATGAATTTGCCAACCTTGTACTTCTGAGTCTCTTCAGCAGCATCGACGTACTTCCATCCTAACACGGTACCACAGCTGCGACAGCTAATATCGGAAACGGTATGCGCACCCGTGACGAGCTGACGAGCGTGGGCTTTGTGCGTCAAAGTGTTGGGTAGGTCGCCCGCCTTCCAGCCTGTCGCTGACATGTCACCACCAGCAAACGCGCTAGATGCCGATGGAGGTCCTACAAGATATGCGCGACCATGACGCCCAGTGAACCCTTTGCTTATTATGGCTGACGTGGGGATGAGGTCGGCAAGGCACTTCTGGCAGCGCAGGTGTGAGTTCGGTTGGGCCGTCAAGAAAGAGGTCGGCTGGGGTGGAGACGAGGACGGAGATGTGGAGGCGGTCGAGATGCTGATGGCAGAGCTTCGGCGGCGGCGGAAGGGAAGGCTGGGGAATAGGTAGAGAGGGAATGGTTGCGTTGGTGAGCTCGGCATGGTGTACTACAGAGGGTTGATCGGAATATTAGTGGTGGTATAGTGATGCGACTATCGCCTGGCGCTATGGAAAGAAAGATCCTTCGAGGTCTCCGGACGGCTAAACTATGAGGTCTCGCTTCCTGCTGCTTGGTGGAGATCGTGAATGGTGTAGTCGTGCCGCCTGATGAACGTCCGGCCGGTGTTGGCTCGGGTAGGGTATAAAAAGTAACTACGCGTTTCGCCAGTGAGCGGAGACGAGGCTCTTTATCCTTAGGCTCGAGAGAAGTAAGACGCTCCCGGGGGAGGCTGCCCGCCCTTTGAGGCGTGTCGACGCGAAGGAGCAGATGACGCGCCGAAGACGGATGCGGAAATGTCGCGATAAGCGATAAGGGCGCCACAGCCGAGGAGGCGGGGTGGCGGGGCAAGACAGATGTCGCACCTCAGGCTCTCGACATCGACGGGGGAGACAAACTGATGCGTTCAAACTCTTGGACGTAGTATTTAGCAGACAGTAAAATTGCTAACGAGGATATATAGAGTGACTATGGCGGTGAGTATCACGTTCTTGCGATCATCATCCGGCGAAGGGTGCAGCCAATACTTATGCGACACCAGATCATGCGACCCTCAAACCCGGGCGTGTCGTCACGAGGTGCGCTGGCGCTCTCCGATTGTGCCCGGGCAGTACTTCCACTGCATTTGGTCTATTGCATCCTTGCTGTATCCTTGCCATAGTTTACAGATACTGGTATCTTGTTTGACCGGCACTTGCCTGATCACCAGCAGACGCACCGTTGGTCTCGTCATACCTAGGTAACCTTGGAATGGCTGTATTCTATCGACGCCTTATGGCCGTCTACCATATGGCAACCGAAATGCTTCATGTTGCGATTCCACCGTTCTCATACGGTTTCAAGCTTTGGTACCAGGATGCCAACGACTATCGACGAACGTAAGACTCGGTACAGCTTCCCAGCTTCGTAGGCGCAATTGCCACGATCAACATGTTTCCTGGCCTGTACCTGGGCTTCGGCACTTTCTGAACAAGGTTGAAACCACCAGACTACAAGGACCGAACAATCGCGAACTCAAAATGCAGCGTGTAGCCGGCGAAGACCACGCGACCTAAAGCCAAGCCATCGCCCCGTTGAGGAGCAGTACTCGATGCAAGACAGAATATCCAAACTGCTGATAGCGGCTGTCGAAGTTATTGCGTTTAACTTTTCTAATCCTTGCCCTGGAGCCTCATGCATCGACTTACCACTCTCGTCTTGGGCTGTTATACGAAGACGTGCACCTATTATGATCAATACTCGTCTTATGAGAGTTACCCCAGAGTTTGCGCAGTAGCCTACGTTGATCACAACACGACTTGGCGATGGGGTATTCTACCGGAGTGTTTGCATAGAATTTGGCATTTCACAGAGGCTCCTTTGCTACCTCAGCTCGATAACCATGTGGCTTCATCACTCCACTCAAGAGTGAGTATCTCTTTGACGAATTCTTTCATGTTTTTACCATTTCACGGTGCCATCAAACCACAAGTTTGCTATATCGCTGACTGCTCGATCAACAAACGGTACAGAACAGCAATCCCACACCCTTTATACATCTGCCCCGTTTACGCGCTTCAGTCAATCTGACGTGCTGTGCCAACAGTCGACGAACACGATGGATCTCGCCGCGCAGAAAGACTTCGAAGAACATATCGGACTGTTGCGGCGTTCAGCATTGGTCATCAATCGGGTACTGTTCAAAATCTTACAGCACGTTGGACTGCAACTTTTCGATCTTGACTCAGTACACACAGCAGAAGCTCAACCGTTGCTCACGTTCGTGGTTAGTAAAGTCCCGAAGCCAAATGAACGAAATGCATGTACTGACTTTGTACACTCGTATGCAGGCTAATTATGTCTCTTTGGACAATCTAGATCGAGGAGTCGCGTCTAATTTGTCATCTGAAGTGAGAATGGAGATCGTTTCTCTCTCCGACGCATGGCCAGTATCAAAATTGGAAAGAACCAGAGACTACTATCGAGCCTATATTGCAGACGCAGCACTGTTCGCTCGAACATTAGCGTATCGCGCCGAAGGTCAGCCCTTTTTCAGGCTCATTGACAATGTTCGTTTCAGTCTAGATCTTGACACATTCAAGGAGTCTACCGCAAACCCCTACCTGGCGGCTCGAATGCTATAGATAAAGCAACGTCAAGCTAAAGGCCAAAAGCTGTATCCAACCGAAGGCCATTCCTATAGGCTTATATTAGAGTATAAAGCTTTGCACAAGGGCCTAAGCGGTCAAATACAAAAAGAGTACCTCGATAAAAAATACATTCGAAGCTATACGTCTTTAGAGTAGGACCGTTTCATCAGTATGGTTTCATACTTAACCTGCTGTCGGTACAAGCAAGCAGAGTTCATCGGTGAGTTAGATGCGGTGCTTGATAAGCGAAGTGTTGCTCTCAGCGAAACTTCTTCTTATGACAGGAATAACAACGAGGCCACAGAAGGCGAAGTCGATCAAAATGCTAATAAAGACAACGACAATGTAGAGGACATCGTACCATCCGGCTCCCAAGATAACGACTCCGACTCCGACACGAGGAGGGAGGTCTCACCCAGTAAACGACCACCAATCTACCCAGCGGTATCGGACTTCACCACGCCGTGTACCCAAGAAGCAATGGCAGCGGATGATCCGGCCGATCGCCGCTGCTATGCCTGTTATTACGACTACGGGGTGTCCTTCTCGCATTCGAACAGAATTGAGCCAGCTGTCCGTACTCCCTGCGGCCACACGCACGGTACCATCTGTCTTGAGGATCATCTGAAGACAGGCAAAGCCACTTGTCCCGTATGTCGTGAGAGACTGTTCGGGTTTGACCAGCGCCTTGATTTCCATGAAAGCGGCATGTATGTTCGTCTGGTGCAGGCTATAGATGGCATCGCCAAGCTAGATCCGGCTATCGATCGCTATCTGTTGGAGGGTCAGAAAGAGACACATAACTTCGACTTTGCGAAACTTCTCGGAGACCTCTTCAAGCTTTGTGCACGCATTATTACCTGTCGGTCTGAACTGCGGAAAGCGATTCCTGTTGAGATCTCAATCGTAGAGGTTTAATTTGGCTTACAGGAAGACGCTGAGTCGTAACGAGTTGTACGTAAGATGAGGAACGTCCTGGAGGATGCATGGTCAATAAGTAATGGAAGTGATCTCCATAGAGGTTGTTAGAGCATCTACATGTAGTTTGCAGACAACCACGGCTCGCCTTGCCTACCCGATCCTTCCCCCTCTATGCTTGTTGTCGCCAGAGTGTTGAGCGGGCTTCCATCACAGCAATACGCTCGTTCATCGCCGTGACTCTGGCTTGCGCTTCTGTAAGCGCATTTGGCTCGATTGGATCCTCCGCCGCTTTAAGCCCCCTCTCCGTCGATCCCACAATAAAGTTCAAGACGCCCCTTGTATCAGTCTGTACATCGAGAGCCAATTTCCGCGTGCACCACATGAGTCCTTCTAAGAAGTCGCCGATGAGCAAGCCCGATCGTCTCAGTGTACCTGTGGAACTGTGATGAGGCGAGTGACCGACTGCCGCCGAAAGTCGGAGACCAGAAGGTTGAATGCCGATGTCATGTTTCAACCCAGATGTTGTACATATCGAATCCACGTCTTCCACCTGTTCTGCGAGGTCCATAGCAGTTTGGAACACCTGGTATTTGGGCTCGATGTCTGTGGAGTAAGGCAAATTTGGACCTATGAGCCGTATGTCAATCGTCGAGTTGTATCCGTCGATGCATAGAAATGGGGTGTGTTTCAGGAATCGAAGCATCGGGTGCAAATTATCCCACCGGAAGCTGAAGTGGAACGTATGACATTTACCACAATGGACGCCACCCATTTCAGTTATTGCTCGCGGAGCGGCACTATGACGGGAGATCGAGCGATTGGGGCCATGAGGTGTCCAGTGGTGACAAAGTATAATCATGTTAAACGCGGTTTTGTAGTGATCAAGTTGCCTGAGCCAACCACTTTGATTGTCGAAGGTCTTGCCATCTGCCGTACCGGATCCCACTAACAAATCTAGGCGCCACTCAAGATCGTGACCGATTTTGATGAACATTTCTCCGAATGTCTGCCCTCCGCGGGACTTCTCTGCGGCGAGCGCTTCGTCTAAAGGCTTGAAGTGCGGATTATCTCCAGACTTCACCGGTGTGGCGCGCTTGTAAAGGGCTGGCTGCAGCTCGCTTAAGTCTCGAACACAGTCGCACCATTGCCTGCAGACCTGCTTCACATGCAGTAGATCGAGTATGCTGAGATGCATGAAGATTGCAGCGAGAAATTCAGTTGTCGTCGCGACTTGCTGCGCAGCCGAGCGCGACTCGATGTTGGGGTAATCCATGGTGATGAGGGGGTCGGTGAAGAAGGAACCAGGGCAGCAATTGAGGCAAGGGACGGTTTATACGAAGCGGGCAAACGCGTTACACAGTAGTGACATGATCGCGTGGTACAAAGGCTTGGGGACTTCTTGTATTACGCGTCGAGTAAACAGCTGGCGCTTAGTCAGATATAAGATGGAGCTGTTTCGACTTACTACACTCACGAGAGGGTATAGACCACAAGATAATTGCCATCAAGCTTTGGCTAGGTCACGAATCGATCATGGGCAGGCCAAGTGAAGGCTGAAGTGTGCATCTCTCTGCCTCATGCTCAGCCAACACTTTAAACGACATGTCACAAGCGTCTGACATACTATCGCAGGACACCAGGATGATTATGATGAACGCATGCAGTAGCAACCTTGGAAGAGCTGATTGCGATAGTGTATGGGATGTCGACAAGTAGTTGCGGCGGTCGCTCAGGTCAGACCTCGGGAACCGGAATCCGTCCCCATTGAGCTAATCCAAATTGCGCTAGTGCCAGGTTCAGGAGGCAGCTACGTCACCACTGCCGCCCAAGCAGCCTCATGCAACACCACCTCGGCATTTGTGGCCCATCTTCGCATGCGACTACCACGAGCAGCAATCGCACTGATCCTCCTCTAGGTCGTCGCATGGGCACGGAAACCAACAACGTGTCACACCTTCCACACGATCTTCAAGCATCTTCGGTAGATGCTGCAGGCACTCCTGGCTAACAGTGGGGGAGAAGAGGCTAGGGCGAAGAGTACGCTGATTTGCCAGCAATGATAGCGACGAATTGGGGCCAAATCAGTAAAGATGTGGAGAAAAGAATACAGGCTGGGCACGCACGAACATAACAAGAGAGGGCATGGAAGTATTTGTATTCGGTCATGCGAAAACAGATTGCGTTTACTCCATACGAAGCAGACGCTCGTGTTTGCCGTTGTGACGCTGATGTCGATATCTCAGTGAAAACGAACTTGGTTGGGCCATGCGACACCAGACTCTGGTATACCGAAACGAACGCTCGAGATTAAAGAAAGAAGATCATGATCCATGACGCGAGAGTTCCTGCTTCTAGATACAGGATCAGTCGCTGCGATCTCTGGGCGCATCTGTTACCTCAACCACGAGCTGCTTGGTCTTCATCCAAATAACCTTCCTGCAAGCAGGATAACTCCTGCTGTGCCTCATCGTACAGCCGGGCGATATAGGCCTTGTCCTCCTCACATGTCTCAGCATATATTCCACCGGTGACATAGGCCTCGTTGACAGTCAGCACCTTAGCGCGACCGCGCGTAAAGGTCATGTCGCAAAATCGCAGAAGAGCGCGTAGCACTTGCCCCAACTTGATGCCATCTTGATCGCGAACAATCATATTCCCCAAATCCACGGGGTCTGAACCTTCGACGCAAGTCAGAATGAGCCTCGTGCACACGGGCGCCATGAAATAATGTTGAAGAATACCGCGTTGCTTTGCGGTTTCGTAAGCGTTGCTCACAGCCCTGGCAAACAACGCTAGAATATACAATTTTTTGCGACCACACCTGCGACCCTGGTTTTCGTCCAATGCAGGCCCCATCCGGTAGTCTGCACGCCCGAGATTCATAAGAGCGAAACGAAAGAGCAGTTCCGAACCATAGCCGTGACCGCATATTTCGTGGTTGTGTAGGAAGCGGAGAGCTGGATGTAAGCCCGAGGCAGCGTATGGAGGGTGAATACGCTGGCAACTGTTGCACTTGAACGCCTGTTGCTGAGGTGTCTGCTCGAGGATAGTATCAAGGTGAAACGTATAGTTGGGTTTCTCGAACGAATACCACAGACTTTGCCATTGCTGCTCTCGCACCGCGGCAGCGGTCACCTCATCTTCGCCTGCCTCAATTGCGTCATACACATCCCATTCCATGCGACGACTCGCCTCTAGAGCCCATTCCACCTCCTGGTAGCTTAGCGTGATGGGATACGTGGACATAATCTGTGGTAAATCAGGGTAATGTGGGTCTTCGTCGTTTGGGATTGGTGTGGGAAGCTGCCACAACTGGCGTTGGATGCTGGGTGTGCCGTCGACTATGGTTGTCAAGGCCTTCGAAGTTGCCCGAACATGAATTAGATCGCGAACATCCGGCAAACGGTTCAGGATATTCTCCGCGAGCTCTGTTATGGCCAACGCCGTTTGCGCGATTGATTGTTGTGGTGTTTCTTCGAGCTGTAGGTCCATAGCCATGGTGAAATCTGCGGTTGTGATGTGCTGTAAAGGGACTTCGGGAGGGTTGGACAATGACTTGGAAGTTCTTCCTCCGCTCCGGTGATGTTTTGAAATGCTAAGGAGGGATAGAAGTTAGGGGCATTCTCCCTATGAGCTAACAGCAGCCTATCGTGCCCCAACCAGTATTTCACTGTGAATACACACCGCCAAAGGTGAAAGCGCTAGAATCAAGTGTGCGCACTCTTGAACGAATATTTATTGCCTACAGTGTATTTCAAAACTGTACAGCGTTGATTGTTCCGTCTCTCTGATCAGAATGAAGCGAATGACATGATCAGACAGATTTATGTACAAGCGGTAACCGATGAGGCTGCGTAGAGCCAGAACCAGAGAGACAGTGAAAGCAACCCCGAAGCTCATCATGCGTCCTGATAAACTCAAGCAGGCTGCGCGAAAGTGCTGCCGATGGGCCCGAACTTGATGTTTGAGAAGATAACTTGCGCATTCGGGTTAGCAGACTCTACATCGGCTGGCACGCCGCTGTTGATGTCGCACTCGCCGCGAGCGACACCAGGCTGCTCCGGATCCTTGTCAGTAGGGTAGCTGCTGTCAAGCCAAAGCATATTGGCGTAGTGGTCGTCCCAGAGACTCATGACAAGTACCATGCCCAGGTTCATACCCCTACCCATGGACTCCATGCCGCCGAACTCGTTGAAGGGGTAGACTTCCTCCTGGAAGACTTCCTTCTGCGTGTTGCACCATTCTTGGGTGATCGAGTTGCCTGTCTGCGCGATTGTCAGAAGGGAGTTCATAAGGCTTGGTGACGTGAGCACATACCATGCCAGGGACTGTGGGCTCCGGGTTAGCGATGACTTTGCCATTCTGCACATAGAAGCGCTTGATCTCGCTGAGCGATCCTCCAGATCCCAAGAACTGTGTGACCACTGTCACCTTCTTTGATGTGTCTACACCAGACTTGCCCTTGCCATAGAAGTCCCTCGCGCCGACACGGTATGGGTTGAAATCGCAACCATTCGCATCGCAGGAGCCGGCATAGCGATCGAGCGAGTATGTTCCACCACATGTATCGTCTGTGCAGACTGAGTAGCCTTCAGGCTGACAAGAGTGTGGGGTCACAGCCGTGGAGACTGAGTTTGCCTCCCAGATGTCCATCTCGGTGCTGAGTTGCGTCAAAATGGGCCTAGCCGAGCAGACTGGCGTACTCACCAGCATGCACCATTCCTGCCAATACCCGCATTGGGGTCAGATTCGGATGCTTGCCAACCTTCTGCATTGGCTTTGCCATCGATGTACTTCAGGTCTCGAGCACATTGAGCGTCACAGTAACCTGGGATGTATCAGTTCATGCTCTATGAATATCGAATCCTGCAACTTACCAGTCCCGTACTTTGCACCGGGTGCACCATGGCCCTTCTGGGGCATGGAAACGAAATACAATGCTCCATTGAGACCGCATGGCAACTGCGAGTTGTCGACGTCGAAAGTGAATTCGTTTC